TTTTTTTTTTTTTTTTTTTTGGGTACCGGGGATCGCACTTGGTACCTTGCACTTACGAGGCAGGTGGCGGAACCACTGAGCTAAATTCCAGGCCCCAACTTTAATTTTTTAAAACGGCACACTCAACCTGTATCCTACATGACATAAGTAAATGAATGTCAAAACAGAAAAGATTCCCTCACTCTAGGGAATAACAGCCCAGTTTCATCTGTAGCTTTGCTTACTCTCTGTCTACATGGCAAACTTAACTCCAGTGTCCACTCCTTCCAGACTTCTGACATTCATCACTGCATTAAAGAAGAGGAAGCCTCTCAGATTCCTGAAGTACCTTCCGATTTTTGGCCTCATTGATTTGGCCCTTTGTGATTTAGTTTGCATATCAGAGAGCCTTACCTTCTTTTCTGAGGATGGTCTAACTGCTGGGGCCCTTAAATACAAACCCATTCTTTGGGTAGAGTCCTGGCCTGGTCATTTGTGTGAGCAAGTCCATCCTCGGTTGCATACTAAAATGCAAGTTGAAACAAACAGAATCAAAAGATGGACAAGCTGTCACTGTGGATGGTTAGTATATCAACTGAAAATCACTACCACAAAAGAACAGGCTATTTACACTGTAGGAAATAAAGCCCTGGTATAAACCACATATGTAACTCCAATAGGAAAGGTTCATTTCTTAGTTAACATAAAAGTACCATCAAAATCTCTTCTATGAATGAAGTTAGATTGAACACATACATTAAGAGAAAAAGCAAAAACGAACCCAGAAACAAAGAAAAACTGTCAAAAATGCCAGCCCACAATAATTCAGGGCCCAAACCTCCAGATCTCATGAATAGAACAGTTTAAATGATGCCATGGGCAGGACTGGATAGCGTGTATTTGAGCACCAATTATTTGCAAGCAATTTACAATAAGGTCAACATATTCATTATCTCCCAACTACCCTGAGAGTTTTGAATAGTGTTAGATGTGTCTGAAATCTCAATGTAATTCTTTCAGTAAAAATCCAAAGTGAGTGATCAAAAGAGATGATTAGTACTTTGAGAAACAAAAGGAGCATTCACTGAAAACGAAAAAGAATTGATAACAAAGTATCATACAAAGACCAAATGAAAAAAATTAAAGGAATTATACAGGAAGCCCTGAAAATCCATTTCAAATAAGAGGTTCATTGACTAAAATATGTATGCATATATTTTATTGAACAGAATGACTCCATCATTGCCAAATACTTTGAAGGTAGTCATCTTCATAGATTTCATTAATTTCATTTATCAGAATACACCTAACTCAGGTACTTTAACTTTGTAAGGGGCCAGATTTGATAACAGAACCCATGGCTCATATCCTGCTTTAGCCATCAAAATTTCTCCCTTTCTGGGCTGGGGATTTAGCTCAGTGTTTCCGGTGCCTGCCTTGCAAGTGCAAGGTGATCCCTGGTACAAAAAAAAAAAAAAAAGAAAAACAATTTCTCCCTTTTTTTAGATCTTTTTTTTGTTTTTATGTCTTTTGAGACAGGGTCTTGTTATGTAGTTCAGGCTGCCCTTGAAGTCAATATGTAGCCCAGGCTGACCTCGAACTCACAATAATCCTCCTGTTGCCTGGCTTCCCTTTTTCTAATTCTTTGTTCCCCTAATCCCATATGAATTATGGAAAACAAATTTGGAGTAGTTTTACGGAAGAAATTTTGCTGACGATAAAGAGAAAATACATTTTAAAATGTACTTAAAGACAATCATTTATAATATGACACATTATTATTAAGTGCTACATACTTTTATTTTTACTTGTCTATTTTTTGAGACAGGGTCTTGGTATGTAGTTCAGCCTGGCCTTGAACTCACTATGTAGTCCAGGCTGGCCTCAAACTCAAGGCAATCCTTTTGCCTCAGCCTCCCCAGTGCTGGGATTATAGGTGTATGTCACTATGCCTGGTTACATCTTTTAAAAGACAATGGGGCAGGGGAATTAGCTCAGTGGTTCCGGTGCCTGCCTTGAAATGCAAGGTCCCAAGTTCAACCCCGGTACCAAAAAAAAAAAAAAAAAAAAAAAA